ATATATTTTTAGCTGTCCAGCTTATTGCTTTCTACTTTTAGTAGAGACAGGGTCTTACTCTTGCTCAAGCTAGTCTGGAACTCCTGACCTCGAGCGATCCTCCCTCCTCAGCCTCCCAGAGAGCTGGGATTACAGGCGTGAGCCACCGCGCCTGGCCACCTTCCCGGTTCTGTCTGGAAAGAGACAGGAACGCAAGGAGCTGGTCCCGGCTCAGCCTTCTGTGTCCGCAGGACACCGTCTGGGGCCATCGTGGAGACAAGGAATTGGCTGCGATGGACTGTCCTCTTTGAGTCTCTGTCTGCACTGCACAGCACGATGCGTATGGGGGACACAGTAGCTTCCTACCTGGATGGTCGTCATCCCGACCTCCCGCCCCAGCCTCCCAGAGAGCCGGGATCACAGGTGTGAGCCAGAGGGACACAGAAGCTTCCTACTTGGATAGTCATCATCCCGACCTCCCGCCCCGGCCTCCCAGAGAGCCGGGATCACAGGTGTGAGCCACAGGGACACAGAGGCTCCCTACCTGGATGGTCGTCATCCCGACCTCCCACCCCGGCCTCCCAGAGAGCCGGGATCACAGGTGTGAGCCACAGGGACACAGAGGCTCCCTACCTGGATGGTCGTCATGCCGACCTCCCGCCCGGCCAGGACCCGGCTGTCCTGCAGCGTGGCCACGCGAGGCTCCTCCAGCTTCATGAAGTCTGCCACCAGGTGCGTGACGTCGAACTGCCAGTCGGGACCAAGCAGATGGCCGGGCTGGCCCCAGGGGCCGGCCGCCTCGGACACAAACTGGGTGAGGACCCGCACGGTGGCGTGCTGGAACTGGAGGGCGCAGCCCCGGCCTCGCCTGTCCTCCTCCTCCTCCTCGTCCTCGCTCTCCCGGGTGGGCCTGGCGGGGGAGGAGAGGGGCTCTCAGACGTGGGTGGGGGGTCCGCTGGGCTCTGGGGACAGGCGGGTGCACGCCTCCACCCGGGGGGACGGCATCGAGACGGGAGCCCCGAGCACCAGCCTGTCGCCGGGCATCTCCTCCTCGAACGCGTTTATCGGCGCACGAGAGACGTGAGGGCCGGGATTTACCGTGCCCACGTGTGGCTATTTAGATTTCAATTTAAACACGTCAAAACCCAATACATTTTAAAAATTCAACTTCTCCAGGCTGGCTATAGTGGGAGCGCTCCACAGCTACGTGTGCTATTATGTGTGTCACCGTGCTGGGCAGTGTGGTTCCAGAACATTCCACCACGATAGAAAGTGCTATCGGACAGAGCTGTATTACACTCCAGAGATGGGCCGGGTCCCACCCTAAGCCCCCTCGTGCATGAACTCCTTTAATATCATGACGCCATGAGGCCAAACCCGTAAGCATATTCTCATGTCCAGATGAGGAAACTGAGGCACAGAGAGTAGGTCGCTTGCCCACACTCACAAAGCTACTAAGGGGCAGAGTTTGGATTGGTTGTGCAGTGCACAACCTGGTTAACCGTACATGGTGATTCGTGCGGACCTTGGAGCCCAGCAAGCCTCAGTTCTCCCTTGGGGACGTGGAACACACCCATTATCTTGGCCACTCGTGACTCCTAAATGATCCGAATGCCTGGCCGGACTGTCCTCCTCCAATCAGGCCAAATTCCTTCAGGCTCTCCTTGTAGGAATGGATGTTCCATCTCTCTGAGGCACACTCTACCTTGTCCCTTCACAGGAAGGCCCTGGTACCTGGGGGACAGTCAGGAAAATGGCCCTGATGGTTTGAGATAAAGAATTCTAGGCAGGGGGCAGGGAACTGAGCCACGCCCTCACTTAGCTAAACACTCACTAATCTGGGGGCCACGGAGCTGAGAAAACGAGACCCCAAACCTCCTACCCGTGACAGACAGACCGGAGTCACAGAGAATAAATGAGGTGCCTTTTGCAAACAGTATCCCATGGTCCAGTATAAATGCCACTAGATTGCATCCAGTAACTTGACCCGCACAGAACATCCCGAGCTTACAGACATTCATAAAGCACAGGACAGAACTCTGATGTTTACCTTAACCCTTTGCACTCGGGTGTCGAGTGTGACTCGACACGGTTAGCAAAAATTACAGAGATTAAAATGACTCTTTGAATGTATCAATAATTTGAAATATAAAAAAAATCCAAATGAATAAGTTTGTATGAAAAGAAACTCCAGTTTTTTCTTCTACTGCCGTGCTTTGTAAAATCTGGGGTGTTTGAAAACTTAAATCCCTAGTAGAATAAAGGAATCGAGAAAAAAGCAAGCGAGTGCAAAGGGTTAAGAGTAAATAAACTGAACCTCAAATTCCCCGGTGACTGAGAAGCTAAAATATTCTATTTATCCCCATGGCGGCATTTTGGGAGAGCCACGTGCAAGAGACAGTCCACCGTGAGCCAGGTGTGGGGCGCGGACAACCTGGGTTTGGCACGGACCTGCTGTGCACCAGCTTTCGGGCTGGGCTGGGTCCTCTTGGAGGCTCGGCCTCCTCAGAGGCGGTTGCTAGGATTTAGGGAGGTGGAATAGCCGAGACAATACCAGCACGTACTACGCACCGGGTCCCGTAGTGTTAGGGTCAGTAAATGATGCGATTGTCCTCATAGCTCCAGGACATCTCTCCCACCCAGGCTCACCTCTTACTGGCCACGATGGGGACCCTCCAGCCCTTAATCTGGCTGAGCTCCGTGTCAGAGACCTCGATCTGCAGGGGTAGCCGGGGCACCCACACGGTGACGTGCAGGGGGGCGCTCAGGTACTGGTACGTGAAGTTCACCACCGCGTCCATCTTGCCCTTTATCTCTTTGCCATTGACAAAGATGTAGTCGCAGCGGTCAGACACCTGTGGGGACAGAGGAAGGAAGAGAGGATGGAGGAGAAGTTCGTGGGGCCCTGGAGACCACCATGCTCTGGTTTGTCTTATTCTCTGGCCAAGCACATGTGCTTCATTCAGGTTCCCCACCATCCCCCCAACGCAGAGCCTGAAGCAAGGATTCAGTGCAGTTGGTTTAACTGGGAGGTGAGCCCAGACAGCAGGGGTGAAGGCACAGACTGAGAAGGACGGAGAAAGAGGGAAAGCCAACAGGAAGGCGCATTTTTAAGGCTACTACAGGAACCATCAGACTCAGCTTCTCCAAGGAATTGTCCACCTGGGGGCAGGAATATAAGAGGCTGGAATATTATCTACCAGCTCCCATTTTCTGCTGGGTCAAAGATTTTCCCCGCCTGGAACAGGAAACAGAAAACAGGTTGAGGTGAAACCACAATCAAAAAGTGAACTTGGACTTGCACACAACTGCGGCTGTGGCTGAAATCTGGGTGGGCCGAGGGGGTGTGATGTGAGCCCCACAGACGGCTGTGCCCCAGGCTGCCGTGTGCTCAGAAAGGGAGCTGCACCGGCCCCACCCCAGCCGGCCTCCCCGGATGCTGGGCCTGCGGCACCTTCCTCCCGGCAGGGTCCACACGAGCCTGAGCTATGTCCCTTCCACTCACACACGGTCCTGATGCTTCTCCAGGGCCCACAGGCCTTGGTCCTGTGTGGCTGGCCTGGCCCAGCTCACGGGTCCCTGGGACATGCCTCCCATCCCCGCTGGAATGCTTTACGCATTTGTCTTGTAGCTGTTCATCATGCGAATGGCAGATCCCTGTGCGTGACCACCAGCCTGCGTTCCCTGCCCTGCAGTCCTCCCTTCCAGCTCTCCTTTCTAGCAGATTGCTGTCTCACAAAAGGGATGAGATGGAGCAGAAAGCAAAACAAATGCACAAAGAAAATAAACATAAAAGTCTAAAAATATCTGGCTTGTGTGTTCCAAAGCCATTCATTCGCAGACGAATCTATCTATAGCCCCAGGGACATTCCCAGTGCGGCAGTGAAACAGCAGAAAGATGCCTGTGTTCTCAGGCAGGCAGGAAGGGCCAATGTAGATGACAACAAGGCCATCATGGAGGCAATGCCCGTGGACTGACTGGTAAAGGATGTCCTCCTAGGAGCTGTGAACTTCTGGAGGACTAGAAGACCAGAAACCCCCTGCCCCAGTGTCTTGGCAATAGTTAGGTCCCTTGGAAATTAGGCTGGGATTCTGTTTCTGCCATAGTAATGAACTAAAAACTGAAACCAAGTTGAGTTGCAGAGAATAAATATGACCCATCCTGCAGAGCCAGGTTGTGTTCTTCATCTTTGATCTTGTGGTTCCTTACCCTAGCTGCTCATGATGCAGAAGCTCAGCAAAGTGGGTATGGGATGGATGGACAGACAGATGGATAGATGGATGGAGGAACAGATGGATGGATGGATGGAGAGACAGATGTGCAGATGGATGGATGAACAGATGAATGGATGAATGGATGGACAAATGGATGGATGAATGGATGGATAGATGGATGGATGAATAGATGGATAGGTGAACAGATGGATGGATAGATAGATGGAGACAGATGGATAGATGGATGGATAGATAGATGGACAGATGAATGGATGGATGGATGAATGGGTGGATAGATGGATAGATGGGTGGATAGACAGATGAACAGATGGGTGAATGGGCAGATGGATGGATGGACAGATGCATGGATGGATAGATGAATAAATGGATGGATGGATGGGTGGTTAGATGGATGGATGGGTAGATAGACAGATGAACAGATGGATGAATGGGCAGATGAATGGATGGACAGATGAATGGATGGATGAATAGATGAGTAGACACATGGATGGATAGACAGAAAGATGGACAGAAGGAAGGATGGATGGATGGATAAACAAGGTCTTCCACTCATGGGAACACCTGCTTCAAGATAATCATCAAGGATCTTGGGGTTGGTGGGAGATGCAGGGAGAAACTGAGAGGAGGTAGAGCCCCAAACAGCGGAGACACAAGAAGTTAGTTCAAAAGCTTCTAGAAAGCTCTCAGGCAATGTTTCCCAATCTTCCTGGGGTTACAGGCTCCTCTGAGAACACACAGAAAGCTAATCCTTGCTGGAGAAACGCACACACGTACAGTTTGGCGCTCGGGGTCTCCTCAGGCGGCACACACCGCACTGAGCCACAACGGCTGACCTGCCTGTCTGTCCCCTGCCCCGGCCGTGCCCTGGGGAGGGATTAGAGTCCCCTTCTGGGGCTCCGTGGACCCCGTCTCATAACATCGTGTGCTGCCCACTGAGCTCTCCTGCTCAGAACGCCCTCCCTTTCCCCAGCTTCCGGGAGCTACGGGCGGCTGGCCTGGGCCCCGTCTCCATCTTCTGTTTGGGGGGCAGCTGGCGAGGGCCGGGCTGAGACGGTCCCTTCGTCTGCCAGGGACTGTGGCAGGGAGAAGCCGGGAGGGCGTCCCAGGGATGGGTCTTCTCATCTGTGGTCAAGAGTGGCTGGAAAATGCCTACATGCTAATTAGGGGTGGAAACCAGTTCCAGTGGCTGTGCAGGCTTGTCATTAGCATGTAAACACTGTCCCGTCCGGGCTGGCATTAGCATAATAGCCAAGTGAGTTACATCAGCAATCACTTCTTTAATCAATGTTGTAATTTACAGACCATTGACTTTTCTCACTTATTACCTTCCTGAGCTCTGGTGGGAGGAAACCTGGCCGCTCCTGAATATATAAATAACTGAGAGCAACGCCAAGGGTGGGAAGTGGCCGTGCGTGACAGAGCCACCGTCACTGCTGCTCCCGAAGGTTTCGTAAACGTCCGGGGACGTGTTAGGGTGCATCCGTCACCCCCTAAGTGGGTAGCGGTGAAAACTACAACGTCACAGAACGGTCTGGCTTATCTACAGAAAGGAACGGAGAACCCCACGGGGATCTCTCTGGTCCCTTGGCTTCGTTTCTTGGAATCTCTTCCGTCTTTCCCGAGGGTGGGCTGGCCACTGAGAAAACTGTCCCCTGGCCTCCGCTTGCTCCGACCGTTGGGCTGAACCCCACGGTGGCCATGGACCAGCCCGTGGGGACCCGGAGCGGCTGGGGTGAGGGGGGGTTGGTGCGTGGGTCAGGGTTGAGCCGAGTCTGGTCGGTTGTCCTGTTGTGTTGTCACTCAGCTTTGGCAACGTTGGTGACACCACTGCCACCCGGGGGGGGGGTATGTCTCAGGGGCCGCTCTCCAAGGGACAAGCGGAGGTGGCTGATGGTGGACCGCTGATGCCCGGTGATAGCTTCTTCGCCTGAACCCTCCTCTGGCCAAGCGGGTTCTCAGACCTGAGCGAGCACCAGGGAGGACTTGTGGGCTCAGCCTCCGACCAGCTGGTCTGCCGGGGGACCCAGGCCGGCACCTGTGACCCGTCCCCGTGTGACGCTGCTGCTGCTCCGGAGGCCGTGCTCCTTGCGTCTTGTACGTCCCTCTCACTGTTGCAATCATTGAGTAACGGTGCTTTGAATATCGCCTCTGAGCTAACGCCTGCCCCAGTCCCGTCTCCGGGTATCCAACTGCTCATTCGACATCTCCGCTTGGATTTCTGTTGAGCATCCCAAACTCAACATGCTCCCAAATCAGACGGCTAGCATAGGGCTTTTGTTTGTGCTTTTAATTTTTTTTTTTTGCCACTCAGGGGACTAAGCCTGTATATCTGAATTAAGTTCAGGCAGAGAAAAATCAAATTTGCATCTCTCTCACACCCGCTCTGGGAATGCGCACGAAACGCTCTTCTTGCAACGTGCTTTCCCACCCCTTTCACACTCAGTCCTCGCCCGGAGCTACGCGCAGCAATTAGGCTCCATTCTGCAGGTGGGGAAACTGAGGCTCACCGAGGCTGCTGCTCCTCGTCTGAGGTGGAGAGGCAGCGCAGGGACCGCCTGTGACAGTTTGCTCTGTCGGCTGGCCTGCTCCAAACGGTGTTTATCCTGGGATTATGGCCTTGGCTGAAGCCGTCCTTCCTGCCACGTGGCACTCGGGGTCATCCCTTCCTGCGGGCAGGTGGGGCTCGGGAAGCAAGGCCGCTGCCCAGCAACTGGGACCCGGCCATGCCCGGGGGCCAGAGACAGTCTGGATCTTCTCCTGGAGCTGCCTTGGCCCCGGTTCGCTTGGCTCATCCCGAACAGCCCACTCGGACAGGCTGTCCCTCCCCGCGCCCAGGCAGGGAGCAGATGGCGCGCACACACATGCACACACACACACACACACACACGCCCGCAGCTCGGGGAGGGTTGCGAGAAGGGGGCGGGTGGGGTTAAGGGGAACCCGCATGAGCCGGCGAAGGACGCCAGACCTTGGGGGGGGCCGCTGGGTGGAAAAGCGACCTCCAAAATTCGTGTCCGCCCAGAACCTCACACCGTGACCTTACCGGGAGGCAGCCTGTTTGCAGGTGTGATTAGTTAAGGCTCAAGATGAGCTCACACTGGCTTGGGGCGTGCCCTGAGTCTAACGGTGTCTGTGAGAAGAGAAGAGACACAGACGCACACACGGAGACGGAGATGGGGGCGGTGCATCCCCGAGCCAAGGAATGCCGAGCACGGGGGAACCACCAGGGGCCGGGAGCCGCAGGCAAAGAGCCTCCCCCGGAGCCCTCAGAGGGACAGTGGCCCTGTCCGCACCTTGACTTTGAACTCGGGTCCCGAACGCATTATTCCTGTTGTTTTAGCAAACCGGTTTGTGGTTTGCTACGGCGACGCCGGACAGTAACACGAACGGCTCCAAGGAGTCGCTGCACCCGAACGTCCTGCCCTGGAGTGGTCAGTCGGAGGACGACCCCTGGACCCCACGTTGGGACGCTCCCTTCTCCGCCGGCCCCTGTCCTCCCCGCCCCCGCTCCCGGCTTCATCTGGGATCTTCCCTAGAAGTCGCCCTTCCCCCGGCAGCGGCTGCAGTTTCCATCTGGAGGAGGTCTCGGTGCAACTTCAGCAAGTTCCCTCGTTACCAA